ACAATGCCAAAGGTCCCGGGTTCGAGTCCTGCGAGGAGCAGGAGTCGTGGATGCGCACTGCTGAGGAGTCCCATACTAGGACGAAACGGCCGTCTTTCAGTGCTTCCAGGTTTCTAATGGTGGTCTAACAATGATGATTGATTAATGATTTCAAATGTGTAAAAACGCAAACCTCCAAAACTGTGCCCCAAAATTCATTCTATGTGTTATTGTATACACATATACACGAATTGTGATAAATTACAATTTAATTGAAATGTAGTGAACTGCACTGAACTGAATTTCAATTGAGTTGAAATGGAATAGGTGAATAAGTGAATAAGTGAATGAATTATTTTAGTAGAAAATTTCACATATCGCATTCATGATAAAATAAATTTCTCTTTAATGGATGTTTGTCACATTGACTTACTTCATATATATATATATATATATGATGATTGTGTGGTGGTGTTTCGTTCTCTGAGCTGGTTGTTTGTGCTGATGATGTTGTGTTCAGTAGAAGAACAATGAAAGCTCCACAACCAAAAACAACCAGCTCAGAGAACGAAACACCACCACCACTACAATCATCCACTTGAGCTACAAGTTTTCTTCACCATCTCAAAATGATTGTGTATAAGTTTGAAGATAACATCATTGGAAATAGTGTTACATACCTAGAAGTTAAGATCAGATGATCGGTTTACAGTAGAAGATATTCATAGGTTTGCTGGTTTTCGATTATAAGTGGCCTCTGAAGCATTGTTCGTATATCAAGGGATCACTGAGTAGACAATGCTGTTGTTAGGAAACTGGTATTAGGTAAGGAGAGCAGGTTAATGGATGAAGTAGTGAGACTTCAGTTGAAGTGCTTCGGACGTGTATTACGTATGCCCAACCACCAACTGCCTCGACGAGCTATGTTTTCTGGTGTAGTAGTAAGTTGGAAGAAAGTTAGTGGTGGCCAAACCAAAACATGGCATAAATCCATGAAATCACTGAGAAGTGGACTGAGTCATGTTAAATATGTGCAGGCTACCTGGTTGGGGTCCGCGAGACGAAAATAACCGATGGGTAGAGACCTTGAATGATATGGCTCAGAATCGTTTGCAATGGCGCAGGTACGTTCATTCATTGTGTTCTCTCAAATTCTAATCTTATAAATTCCTCATCATCTCTATCTTTCTCTTTCTAAAGTTATTTCACTGAATTATACTTTTCGAATTATATCTTCGCTTCCTAATCTTCTCTACATTGCCAGTAATAATTCTACTATCGCTATCATTCTTGGATTTGAACTGACAGTTGCCTTTGTGTGCTAATGTGGTGGTATGGCAATGTGAATTGATATACTTACGCACGAAGTTCTGTGTGTTATAAATGACTGACTTTTTTCCCATTTATAAGGTGTATCTTTTACTTTAAAAAAAATTTAGTGAAAAATTAATTGTTGACTGCTTGCCTGCCGGAAATGGTTTCTCAAATCTTTACAAGCAGATATTTTGATGCCACCTTGTTGATAAAAAAAAACTCTTATCGATTTCCAGATATCGAACGTTCATCTATCGTACATATATCATTTTTCTCTCATCTCTCCACCGTTTTACTGCACTGTTGACTTTGCGTTAGGTTGTGTTTTAATACTTTGCAGTGGAATTTGTTTCAACTAGTCGAATAGTCTATGACGAATTCGTGGCGATAAGAGAGTTATTAAGATGTGTTGAAAGGATTGATTGATTCTGACCGATTTTTAGTCTGGTGTGCTTTTTTATGGATTTTTGTTGACTAACTGACTGACTGACTGACTATGATGAATCCACGCTAAACAGTATTTGCGCCTTATATGTATTTTATTACTCAAATATATATTACTTACTTACTTACTTAAACCTGTTACCCCCCAAATGGAGCATAGGCTGCCCACCAGTTTTCTCTAACCAACTCTGCCCTGGGATTCCCTTTCCGATTCTGTCCAATTTTTGTTCATTCGCCTCATATCTTTCTCTATTTCTCGACATAGTGTGTTTTTCTTGGCCATAAAATTTTCATTTTGCCTTGAGGGTTCCATGTGAGGGTTTGTCTCGTGACGCAGTTAAGTGCTTTTCGTAGTGTATGTCCTATCCACCAACACCACCGCTTATTCCTGATTTCCAACTCCGCTGGAATATGGTTTGTTCTCTCCCATAGTTGGTTGTTGCTGATGGTGTTTGGCCAATGAATCTGAAGTATTTTGCTTAGACAACAGTTAATGAATAATTGAATCTTCTGGATGATGGCTTTCGTATTTCTCCAAGTTTGCACTTCATACAGTTGAACTCTTTTGACATTTGTATTGAAAATTCTGATTTTGATTTTGGTTGAAAGTTGTTTGGATTTCCAGATATTTTTCAACTATACAAATGCAGCGGTTGCTTTGCCAATCCTTGCCCTCACATCTGCATCGGATCCACCTTGGTTATCGATGATGCTGCCCAGATATGTAAAGGTGTTAACGTCCTCAAAAGGCATCTCCATCAAGAATGATTTGGTTGGTGCATGTTGTGTTGCATTGGAGAATTTTCCTTTTTCCTTTATGTATGTTGAGACCTAGTGCTGTAGAGGCTACTGCTACACTGGTCATCTTCTCTTGCATTGCAAATATCTATATATGTATTTAATATTGTAATTTAGCTGTTGCTAAGTAATGAAAGTTAATTTCAACTATCAGCTGTTTTTTTTTCATTTTAAATTCTCCACCCCGATTATTAAATTGTCAATTTTTATAAAACATTGAATCTAAAAGAATCGTTTTTTTTAATCAACTCAACTACAAAAAAAAACAAATTGTTTCCAAGTGTAGAAAATAAAAAGTATCTTTCGTCTATGATGATTGTTGTTACATTGACTATTCTGTTTCGAGTTATTTTTTTTTGGTTGAGGGGGCGATTGGTTGACTGTTCTGCATCTTCTGACTGCGTCATGACTTGCATCTTTCTGTTTTTTAAATTTACTTCACTGAATTGTACTTCTTGAATCATATCTTCGAACCATAATCTTTTCGACTACTGTTCATACTTGTACTACATCTACTATTATGGGATTTGAATCGACAGTCCCTTCTCTTTATGTGGTAATGTGTTGGTGGATGGTATGGCAACGTCGATTGATATACGTATGAAGTTCTACATTGTAACTGACTCGCTCATATGCCGTCAGTTTGTTCCTCCGCATTTTCCCCAACTGTTTATTGTCATACTCCTCCTCTCTTTGAGTTATGAATTAATTTAGATGATAAACCTTTATAATTTATATCAATGCATAATTTATGAACAATATTCAAGGTTATTTGACTTCTTGTACTTCCGTTTTGTTTCCCTCTCCCTACCTCCCTCCCTCGCTCTCTCTCTCTCACTTGCTCGCTTAGTCTACACTGTCCTTATTTTAATCTCATGCATATTGGTTTCAATCTGTTTATGTCCTTGAATAGTGCACGAAACGAAAAAGTACTTCATTATATGTCTTGTTGGCATATATGCACACATGTATATGTAGAGAGAGAGAGAGAGAGAGAGAAATAGATTCTCTGAATAGTAATGATTATGCCTCGATTAGTGAGTGGTTTAAAAAATAAGTTGTTTGAAGCCTCTCTAATGAAGGAGATACGTCGTCACACAATAGATTGAATTTATAGTATGAGCTAGGATATAGTGTTTGGTAATTTTCGTAGGAGTGCACTCTGCGAGTCTTTGAACCGATAGCCTAATCCACGAGGTAACATGAGGTTCGTGCGCCATATGTCCTATCATGATTCCCTAAAGCCTATGAGCACCATTGGTTTAGAATCAGGGTTTTCCTATTTGCCCCTCTAGATGACTTCTGTATACCCAAAAATGCGGGGTTTAGGTGCTGAGAGAACATTCTCTTTCTCCGTCTTCTCAATTTAGCAAATGACACTTTTTCCAAGAGAACGCAGTAAGTGCACATTTCCTGTTAGTGGCTATACCTGCCTGTCTATATTTGGAGAGTGAGAAAAGACTTCCCTCACTCTGGATCGTGCTAGAGTATTTTGGCGATTGGATATTTTGTAACTTACTTAGGTAAGATGTATGAAACCATTACTTGTAGTTAATATTTCCCCGTAAATTCAAATATTTTTAAGCTAAAAATGATAATTGCCCATAGTTGAGAATTAGGGACAATTGAAATTCAGTACAACAATGATAGAATGTTTTAGGAAAGTCAGATGCAACGTAGAACTTTGTACGTAAGTACATCAGTTCATGTTGACATACCACATCAGCACAGAGACATCTAATTGTCAATTCAAATCCAACAGTAGTAGAGGTAGTAAAGGTATTTATTAGAAGTAATCGGAGAAGTTAGGGTTAGAAGATATATTATTCAAGAAGTATGATTCAGTGAGATAAGTTTAGAAAGTCAAAACTAGAGGTGTTGAAGAATCCAGAAGATTAGGATTTGAGAGAACACAAAGAGTGGATGCACCGGCGCCATTGCAAACGGTTTTGAGCCATGTCATTCAAGGTCTCTAACCATCGATTATTATCATCTCGCGGACCCCAACCAGGTAGTCGACAACTACCGACATGACTCAGTCCACTTGTCAGTGACTTCATGGATTTGTGCCATGTTTTGGTCTGGCCGCCCCTAACAAAGCTCTTCGAAGCAGTCGGTGGTTAGGCACACGCAACAGCATATGTCCCAACCACCTCAACTAATGAAGTTTCACTACTTCATCTATTGATCTTCCATTCTTACCTAGCAACCGTTTCCCAACAAACAGCATTGCTTACTCGAATGTGTTTAAGTGATTCGCTTCGTGTATTTTTTTTAAACTGATCGATTTTTTTCCCTCTATTTTTTTTTTATTTTTCTCCCACCTACTCACTTCATACCTTATTTATATTACTCTTGATATCTTCATAGTTAGTTTTCTGTTGTTGTTTTGTTGTTATTGCTGTGTTTTTCTTTTTTCAATCACTTATATTTGATTTTATTTTTCTCTCACATTTATTCCTTAGATCAATCAACAGGATGGTCACAACAAGATTCAATCAAGCTAAGATCATTATCATCAGATCAATCTTCCCCGTATGATACAGATTTATTGGCACAATCGAAATTAGAGTTGACTAGTAGTAGTAGTTCACTTGAACATACTAACCTATCGTCGGCATCAACATTAGTTGTCAATGGGAATCGTCATGATACAACGAATTCGTCATCTCCGTTGCCGCCGCCGCCATCATCGTCTGTAGTTGTTGTTACTGATGTCAAAAAATCTACGCCTGATGTCAGTAATCTGTCGACCATGAACGATACAATAAAAAATCCTGACAGTCTTGTAGATCAAACTATGACGACACAATTGCCAATTAATGATGATAGTTTAGATATTATTGGTGAATCGTTGACATCATTCACGGAGACGAATACGTTGATGACGGCGACGACAACGACGTCAACCCTGATTGCTACGAATAATAATGTTTCCACTGTTAGTGCAAATCAATTATTGCCTTCTTCTCCGAATATGTCGCTTACCAGTATGATGACCACGATGACTACAACTACGACGACTACTACAACTACTACTCCTCCTACACTTGGTGCTACAACCAATGAATTATTAACATCATGGAGTTCACCTGGTCCACCGAATTCCAACAATTCAAATATTACATCATCATCATCATCATCGCCGTCAGTTCATCGTAAGTGGATTATGCATATGATATTTACTGCGCATCAGTTTGTTCCGCTTGGAGCCTTTTTGAGGCTAATGTCGGTCCCAGTCGGGATAAAGGAGGAAGGTTTGGGCTGGGGTTAGTGACCCCCTATCCTGTGTGAAAATAACTCGCCAGGAAAAAACGTTAACCAGAACAGTTTTGCTTCATCCTTACTCCCGTTGAATATAATGCTTTTTTATACCTCGAAATAAACATGACTAAATCTTGTTTGTGGATTGTGTTGGTTAGCTGCGAAATATCCCGTTGGAAAAGTCTATCGAAGTTGAGAAATGTTCTATCCACTGCATAGAACACGCACAGAAATATCTGAAGAATGCAGAATCAATCACCTGTCACGATGCGGACTGGATAAGGTGTACCAGAGAAGTATATTAACCTTATACAAGCTCTTTACTCGAACACCACTGGTCGAGTGAGGGCTTATGGCGAACTGTCACCGGAATTCTCTACATCAAGTGGTGTCCGTCAGGGATGTCCACTTTCTCCATTCTTGTTTAATTTTATCATAGACATGCTCCTAGAAATAACATTATCCTCGTCTGAATTTTCAGGAGTAGACCTTCTACCAGGTGGCTCGCTTATTGACTTCGAATATGCCGATGACATTGTCCTACTTGGTGAAGATGCTGACAAAATGCAGAGTCTTCTGACTACCCTAAGCAACAATGCAAGCATGTTCGGGATGCGGTTTTCCCGCTCGAAATGCAAAATGTTGCTTCAAGACTGGGTTGCATCGGCACCTGAACTAGTGATAGGGAGTGAAGTAGTCGAACGTGTAGACCGCTTCACTTATCTTGGGAGTCTCATCAGTGCCGATGGCCTGGTGACTGACGAAATCTCAGCTCGGATACAGAAGGCTCGATTGGCTTTTGCCAACCTGCGTCACTTATGGCGTAGGCGAGATATCCGTTTGCTGACTAAAAGACGAGTGTACTGCGCAGTGGTTCGCTCCGTCTTACTTTATGGCTGTGAAACATGGCCAATGAGAGTAGAAGATACTCGTCGGTTATTGGTTTTCGATTATAGGTGTCTTCGAAGCATTGTTCGTATGTCGTGGGACACCCAAGTGAGCAACGCTGTTATTAGGAATGGCAGATCAATCGATGAAGTGGTGAAACTTCATCAGTTGAGGTGGTTGGGACATGTGTTGCGTATGCCCAACCACCCATTGTCTCGTCGAGCCTTGTTTTGTAGTGTAGGAATAGGTTGGAAGAAAGCTAGTGGCGGCCAAACCAAAACATGGTAGAAATCCATGAAGTCATTGACTAGTGGACTTAGCCATGTCGGTGATTGTCGACTACCTGGTTGGGGTGCGCGAGATGATAATAATCGATGGTTAGAGACCTTGAATGACATGGCTCAAAATCGTTCGGAATGGCACCGGTGCATTTATTCTCTGTGTTCTCTCAAATCCTAATCTTCTGGATTCCTCACCACCTCTAGTTTTGACTTTCTAAACTTTTCTCACTGAATCATACTTCTTGAATAGTATCCTCTAACCCTAACCTCTTCGAATACTTCTAATTCCCTTACTACCTCTTCTACTATTGGATTTGAATTGACGATTACCTCTCTGTGCCGATGCGGTATGGCAACATGAACTGATGTACTTATGTACAAAGTTCTACGTTGCATCTGACTGACTCGTTTTTTCTGTACATAAACGTACATTAGCGTAAAGTGTTGTTTTTGCACGCCCGACATTTTAACTTTCGTATTCAAATAACAAATCAGATTTTGTGGTTCATTTAAATAACAGACTTCTCAGTAATGAAATATTGTGAATAAGGATCTTTTTAGGTTCATTTTTTAAACCAAAACACTAAAGTTAAGAAATGATGAAATCTCGACATTGTATAAACAATCAGTTAGTCAGCTACAATGTAGAACTTTGTACGTACAAACTACATCTGTTGAAGTTGCCATAACAGATTAGCACAGAGAGAGAGATGAATTTGTCAATTCAAATCTCATAATACTAGAGGTAGTAGTTGACATGTGTTACGTATGCCTTACCACCAACGGCCGCGACGAGCTATGTTTTGCAGTGTAGGAGTAGGTTGGAAAAAGTTAGGGGCGGTCAGACTGAAACATGACGGAAATCTATAAAGTCACTGACAAGTTGACTGAGTCATGTTGGTAGATGTAGACTACTTGATTGGGGTCCGCGAGACGATAGTCACTGATGATTAGAGACTTTGAACGACATGGCTCATTTGCGATGGCGCAGATGCATCCACTCTTTATGTTCTCTAATACCCTAACGTTCTGTATTCCTCATAATCTCTACCTTTCTCCTTTTAAATTTACTTTATTGAATTATACTTCTCAAATCATATCTTTGCTCCCTAATCTTCTCCATTACTGCTAATACTTGTACTATCGCTATCACTGTTGGATTTGAACTGATAGTTACGTCTCTGTGCTGATGTGGTATGGCAACATGAACTGATGTACTTCTCCGACCGTGGCTGCTACCTTGACGTGGTGGTCGGGCTTGCCTATCGTGATGACCCAACCGAGCTATACTGGCTGGAACATATGTTCCTGAAGGTTCTACTACCATGCCAGGCAGGTCGATTGGAGATGGATGAGACTGAAAGTAGCTGCTCAAGGTGTGAGGGTGAAGTTGTACTGCTGACTACTTCAGAGGGGTGTGACAGCAGTAAGGTGTTTCCCTCGGACAACCAGCATCTGCAGCGATGCTGCCTTCTCACAAGGAAGGAAGGGTTAGAAAAGGTCGACCCTAAAAATGTCACACCTCACCTTACCTCACAGATTTCCATCTCCTTGGGTAAGGGTGCCCACTAAGGGCTTTAAAAGGGCGAAGCTAATACTCAAAAATCCTTTCATAAAAAGTCCGTGCGTGACCGGCCTGAAGCAGTTGTCTCTTTGGACTCTGTGGTCACGCTCCCAGGTCGTTAAAACCAACTCTAATCCACCTTCCTTTTCACGTCCCTCAATGATGTACTTACGTACGAAGTTCTGCGTTGTATCTATCTATCTATCTCTATTAACAGTAATCAGAGAGATTAGCATTTTTAAGATATTATTATTCAAGAAGTGTAATTCAAGAAGATAACTTCATAAAGAGAAAGAGATAGAGATGATGAAGAAGAATTCAGATTACCATTTGAAAGAACAAAATGAGTGGGATGCACCTGCACCATTGATGTGGCTGTTATGTATTTTACCATTGTCACATTTATTCAGTTATCCTTTTTGTGTGTTTGCTCTGTTTATAAATTATACCTTATATATTTTTTACTCATTCATTCATTCATTCATCATAGGTGATCGTAAATTACCAATAACAGTAGCGGCAACATCGACCATGAATGATCCTGTCTTGATTACCACACAACCACCAACATCATCATCATCTCAATTAGCTCAACGATTAACTAACAATTGTAATAATAATAGTAATACACCCGTGGATGAGAAAAACTTTCGAACATCATCCAATCAACCACCGACACAACAACACCAGCAACAACAACAACTAACACAAAATCCCATGATGGGAAATAATAGCAATAATGTCTCACTAACAAAACCAACCATGCTAGATTCTCAAAATATGATCATGTTGAAAGATTGTCCAATGGAAACAATGATCGAAGCGAACAGTAGTAATATGAAGCAGTCACCAGCACATTTTCGACATTTATGTCCTCCTGGAGGACAATCATCGGATCCTTCTATTCAATCATGTAATAATAACAGTAACAATAATGGAATAACAGGCGAACAACCTCCATTGCATACTACTACTACTACTACTACTACTACTACGCTGTTATCATCAAATTTAAATCCATCCAAACAGTATACACATACGAATACTGCACTCGTTTCACCAATGATTGGTGGCGGTGATGTTGCTCCTGCTGCTGTTGTCGGCGGCGTCGCCGGCGGCGCTGTACCATTAACACAAGAACAATGGGAAAATCGTAAAAGTAAAATAGCTCAATTAGAAAAAATTCATTCAACATTGAGTAAAAGTAAAAGTGCTTCAACACCAGGTGCAATGAGTGCTGTAACAGCTGGTGCTGTTTTACAACACCAACACCAGCAACAACATCAGCAACAGCAACAACGTTTTATGCGAAATCCTGTTGTTGCAATGCAACAACCACCACATCATCATCATCATCCACAACCGCTACAACAACAAGAGCAACAGTCGTTCATGTTAGGCAGCAGTAATAATCCTACACTAGCAGCAGCACAACCATCTCCATCTGGTGAGTTGAGGTTTTTATTCTTTGTTTATTTGTTATGAAATGATTTTGGAGCATTAGGTTGGTGTGTGTGGGTTTTCGGAAGGATTTATCCGTAGCGTAGGTGAGATTATCCGTTTGCTGACTGACTGACTAAAGGATGCGAGTGTACTGTACAGTAAGTAGTTCACAGTAGTCTTACTTTATGACTATGAAACATGACCAGTGAGAGTAGAAGATATTCGTAGGTTACTACTAGTTTTCGATCATAGGTGTCTTTGAAGCATTGCTCGTATATCGTGGGACAACCGAGTGAGCAATGCTGTTGTTAGGAAACGAGTATTAGGTAAGGATGGCAGATCAATCGATAAAGTAATAAACCTTCATCAGTTGAGGTGGTTGGTTGGAACATGTGTTGCGTATGCCTAACCACCGACTGCCTTGTAGAGCTTTGTTTTGTAGTGTAGGAATAGGTTGGAAGAAAGTTAGGGGCGGCCAGACCAAAACATGGCAGAAATCCATGAAGTCATTGACTAGTGGACTGAGTCGTGTTGGTAGTTGTCGACTACCTGGTTAGGGTCCGCGAGATGATAATAATCGATGGTTAGAGACCTTGAATGACATGGCTCAAAATCGTTTGCAATGGCGCCGGTGCATTTATTCTTTGTGTTCTCTCAAATCCCAATCTTCTCAATTCTTCTACACCTCTAGTTTTGTCTTTCTAAACTTATCTCACTGAATCATACTTCTTGAATAATATCTTCTAATCCTAACCTCTACGACTACTTCTAATAAATACCTTTACTACCTCTTCTACTATTGGATTTGAATTGACAATTCGATGTCTCTGTGCTGATGTGGTATGTCAACATGAACTGATGTACTTACGTACGAAGTTCGACGTTGCATCTGACTGACTGACTGACTGACTTATCCGTGGCGATGATGTGTGAATCTACGAACCCTGCTTACGGGAATTTGAACCGAGGATGTTTGAACTTGCGCGCGACTGCTTAACCTTTAGAACATGGAGCAGGCGTTAATGTCTAATCTCGATCGGTCCATGGTTATACACAATCTCATCGGCTGTCGTTGGGAAACGTGTCCCCAATTAAGGGTGGGTAGATCAATAGATGAAGTATTGAAACTTCGTCGATGATAATACGTATGCCTAACTACCGACTGTGTCTTGTCGAGCTATGCTTTACGATGTAGGAAAATATGTTGGAAGAAAGCTAGAGGGGGCGGCCAAACCAAAACATGGCACACAAATCCATGCAATCACTGACAAGTAGTGGACTGAGTCATGTTGATAAGTGTAGGCCACTTGGTTGAGGTGTGCGAAATGATAACACACTGCTTTTTACGTAATTTTAATTGTGTCCTATGATTACTATTTTCAATCTATGTATTTATCTATCCAATTGTGACCTACAACTTCTAATGATGAATTATTGACTAGAATGTTTGTTCTTGTATTTTTATTATTATTATTATTCTTACTACTACTGCTACTACTACTACTACTAATAGTACACTTATCTCCTCACTATCAACTTGTACTTTTGTCTGCTATGTGCAGTTACGTCATCTCTGTTTGGTTGTGTTTAGTGTGTTCCTATAGTGTAAATTACTTTGATTGGTCTAATATATTCATATAAAAAATTTCGATCTGACACCTCTCTTTAGCCGTAACTTCAAGGAGACGCTGCTGCACATGCACTACATACTACTAATAAGCTTAATTGTAAGTAGTACATACCACAACAATAGGCGAGACGGATGGTAAATGTCAATAAAATTTAGGACTCATGTTTTTTTTTTGCTATTTGGGACTCGTCAGTTGCATGCACCTGCATCTCAAAGCTATCGTTCTCTCCGGGACTTGAACTCAATGCCGTTTACTTCAAACGCCATTGCGTTTATCCATTTATCTACTGATCTCGGAAAGTCATTTTGCTTGAGAAATGGGATAGAATTTAGTTTATTTTTTATTGGTTATTTTAATTTTCCTATTGATATTTATTTAGGACTAAAATTAGTCAGTATTTTTGGCATCTTATACGAATTACCTCACTATTATCACTAGTATTATGAGCAGATATGGATGGTGTTGGTATTTATTTCCAAATTCTATTCATATTCCACGTATTTGGGGTTTAAGTAACTCGATAATATCACTAACTTTCATGATTAGAGTGTATCTTCATCAGTTGTGGTGGTTGTGACATGTGTTATGTATGTCTACACACCAACTGCCTCGACGAGTAATTTTATACGGTGTAAGGGAAGGCTGGAATGAAGATAAGAGTGGTCAAATTGAAATCCGGCACAAATACATGAGGTCACTGACAACTGGATTGAGTCATGCTGGTAGGTGTAGACTACCAGGTTGGGATCAGCGAGACACCGAGTAACCGATGATTAGAGACTTTGAACGACATGGTTCAAAATTGTTTGCAATGGCACATGTGCATTCATCCTTTGTCTGCTCTAGAATTGACATTTTTCTTCCCCTTCTAAATTTACCTCAATAGACTATACTCCTTGAATAATATCTATAATTTCTAATCTTTTTGATTACCGCTAATACTGCTTACTACTATAAAATTTGAACTAACAACTCTGTCGCTCTATGCCAATTAGTTGCTTATGGCAGCTTGAACTGGTGATTCATGCGCTCCAAGTTCTACGTTGTAATCGCCTATCATAATGACCTAAACGAGCTCTATTGGCTAGAACATATATTTCTGTGGGTTCTACCATGCCTGTTGGAGAACGATGAGACTAAAGGCAGCAACTCAAGGTTTGAGAACGCAGTCGTACTGCTGACTGTAGGTTGGTGTGACAACAGTAAGGTGTTTCCCTCGGACAACCAGCATATGCAGAGATGCTGCCTTCTCACATGGAAGAATGGGGTTAGAAAAGGTCGACCCTAAAAATGTCACACTTCACCTTACCTTATAGATTTCCGTCTCCGGCTTTAAGGCCTTTTAAATAAGAACAAAGCTAACACTTTAAATGCTACCCATAAAAAGTCCGTGCGTGACCGGCCTCAAGCAATCGTCCGTTAGGCTTTGTGGTTACACTCTCAGGTCGCTCAGACCAACGCTAATCCGGTTTCTCTTCCACGGTGTGGGCAGCCGGTAAGTGACATCTTCCCTCATACTGATAACAATACACGAGACAAAATTGGTCACAATCAAATCCTTCCTACAGACAGACAGACAGTTACAACGCTGAACTTTGTTCGTAAGTACATCAGTTCAGGTTGCCATGCCCTATCAGCACAGAGACGCAACTGTCAGTTCAAATCCAAAAGTGATAGCGATAGTAGAATTATTAGCAGTAATGGAAAAGATTAGGGAGCGAAGATATGATTCAAAAAGTATAATTCAGTAAGATAAATTTAGAAGGAGAAAGATAGAGATTATGAGGAATTCACAAGATTACAAGTTGAGAGAACACAAAGAGTGGATGTACCTGTGCCATTACAAACGATTCTGAGCCATGTCGTTAAAGGTCAGTCAGTCAGTCAGATACAGCCTCGTAGAACTTCGTACGTAATTACATCAGTTCATATGTCGCCATACCACATTAGCACACAGAGATGTAATTGTCAATTCAAATCCAATAGTAGTAGAGGTAATAAAGGTATATTCGAAGTAATCGAAGAGGTCAAGATTAGAAGATATTATTCAAGAAGTATGATTCAGTGAGAAAAGTTTAGAAAGTCGTTCAAGGTCTCTAAACATTGGTGACTATCGTAAATCCTTCCCTCGCCCCCCCCTAACATCTATCTATCTTATCTCCTTCATGTCTCACCATTCTCACATCCCTTTAACACAGCCTACACTGCTGCTATATTCTATTATATTATATTTTTCATTTGTTGTACATTGAACAGCATTGTTCAATGTACAACACTAATATAACTCAATTTATGACTGTTTTAATAAATACTTACCATATTTGTTACATAAGAATTATTATTATTATTATGCCTTGATTATTAAATTTTCATTGATTTTTTTAAAAAAAATTTTTATTTGTAATATAAAAAATTAGGTCAAAAAAAAATGTTGATTGTTCTATCTATATACACGCATGCACACACACACACACATACAAACAAACAACTTTTTTTTTAAAATCTGAACGTACATAATAGTCATAGAAAAAGCTACAGTAGAAAGTGAAAAAATATTTTGTATTTTGTGATCTGAATTACATTTTTCAGTGTGTATTATTATTTTAAAATTGTTGTTAATTTATGTGACGAATATCCAACCACTCACTCACTGATGGCCTCGACGAGCAATGAGTCCTGGTGTATGGTGGGGGGGGTGAGAGTAGGCTGAAAGACAGCTAGGGACGGTCAAATTGAAGTCACTGACAAGTGAACTGAGTAGTCATGTTTGTAAGTGTAGGGGTTCGTGAGGCATTAGTAATCTATGGTTAACATGGCTTAAAATCGTTTGCATTGGCGCAGATGCATCCACTCTTTATGTTCTCTAAAACCCTAACGTTCTGTATTCCTCATAATCTCTGCCTTTCTCCTTCTAAATTTACTTCATTGAATTATACTTCTCAAATCATATGTTCGCTCCCTAATCTTCTCCATTACTGTTAATACTTGTACTATCGCTATCACTCTTGGATTTGAACTGATAGTTACATCTCTGTGCTGATGTGGTATGGCAACGTGAACTTATGTACTTATGTACGAAGTTCTGCGTTATATGTCTCTATCTATCTCCAATAACAATAATCCGAGAGATTAGGGTCCGAAGATATGTTCCGAGAAGTATAATCCAATGAAGATAACTTCATAAGGAGAAAGATAGAGATGATGAAGAATTCAGAAGAAGAAGAATGACCTAAATGGCCTAAAATCATTCGCAATGGCGCAAATGCATCCACTTGTTGTGTTCTTTCAAATTCTAATCTTCTGCATTTGTCATCATCTTCATCTTTCTCTCCTTATAAAATTCATTTTCACTGGAGATTGTACTTCTTGAATGATATCTTCGAACCCTAATCTTTTCCAATACCCCTAATACTTCTCATTAAATCTACCATTATGGGATTTGAATTGAAAATTGCATCTCTATATGGGCTAATGTGTTATGTCAACTTGAATCTGTATACATATGTACTAAGTTCTACGTTGTAGCTGACTGACTGACTGACTGACTAATTCATCATTCATAATCTCAAACTACGTTATTATTGAACTCTACTAGTTAGGATCTCTCAAATTAATTCGTTTCCTAATTTTGATTGAAAATTATATATTCAAACACATTGAAAATGAAAGTAACTTGATCTTTGCATCACACCAAAGTTGTCAGTTCATTCAGTCAGTCAATCAGTTATAACGTAGAACTTTATACGTTCGTACATATATTCAGGTTACTATGCTACAATTAGCACAGAGATGCAGTCATCAATTCAAATCCCATAGTGGTAGAGATAGTAGAAATATTAACCGTCAGGTAGAAGATTAGAGTTTGCAGATATGACTCGAGAAGTATAATTCAGTAAGATAAATTTAGAAAGGGAAAAGTAGAGGTGATGATGAATTCAGATGATTAGAACTCGGGGAGAACTAAAAGATTAAATGCATCTGCGCCAGTGCAAACGATTTTGATCGAAGATGTGTTATTCAAGGTCTCTAACCATCGATTACTATCATCTCGCAGTCATCAATCAGGTAGTCTACATCTACCAACATGGCTTGGTTCATTTGTCAGTGGCTTCATGAATTTTTACCATGTTTTGCAAGTTGTCGGTTCGGAGCTACACGTATATGCTGTCGTTAGGAAACGAGTTCTAGGTAAGAATGACAGATCAATAGATGAAGTAGTGAAACTTCATCAGTTGAAGTGGTTGGGACATGTGTTGCGTATGCCTAACCACCAACTGCCTCGACAAGCTTTGTTTTGTGGTGTAAGAGTCGGTTTGGAAGAAAGCTAGGGTTGGCCAGACAAAAAACATGTCAGAAATCCATGAAGTCACTGGTTAGTGGACTGAGTCATGTGGGTATATGATTTGTGCTCCTTAATCTGTTTTAATTGGTTTATGCTAGTAAACATACAATGACAGGTACAACGCAGAACGTCGTGTACGTAAGTACGTCAATTCAGCTGACTATACCACATTAGCACAGTGACGCAACTGTCAGTTCAAATCACATAGTGGTAGCGATAGTAGAAGTATTAGCGGTCATGGAGGAGATTAGAGTTTCAAGATATTATTCAAGAAGTGTGATTCAATGAAGTAAACTTAGAAAGAGAAAGATATAGATGATGAGGAATTCAGATGATTAGAATTTGAGAGAACACAAAGGGGTGGACGCACCTGTGCCATTGCAAACGATGTTGAGCTATGTCGTTTAAGGTATCTAACCATTGGTGACTATCGTCTCGCGGACCCCTAGCCAGGTAGTCTACATCTACCAACATGACTCAGTCAGTGGCTTCATGGATTTGTGCCATCCTACTCCTACACACTATAAAACAAAGCTCGTTGAGGCAGTCGGTGGCAGCACGTTCGTAACACGTGACCCAACCACCTCAACTGATAAAGTTTCACTACTTTATCATTTGATTTGCCATCCTTACCTAGCACTCGTTTCCTAACGATAGCATTGCTTACTCGGTTATCCTATGATATACGAGCAATGCTTCGGAGACATCGATGATCGAAAACAAGCAATCTACGAATATCTTATACTAGTAAACGAAATTCTCTTACTATTTTTGAAACTTGTTGAATCATCAACAAGTCAGTTGCATTTCTTCCTCTCTCTCTCTCTCTCTCTCTGTTCATTCATTTCACATTTTTACATTTTCAACGATAAAATAATCGGCATACATTAAAAGAAGTAAGAAGAATTGTAGTGGAAATTTTTTATATTCTCAATAACATACATTTATCATGAGTTTATTTAACGCGTGAACTAATTTCTCTACAGTAGTAATTGTGTGTGACAACATAAAATTAAAAATACGTACACAGAAAAAAAAACCAAATATACGTTTTGATATCATAGATCGACGTGTAACCTGGACGGCCATTTCGTTCTAGTGTATGGGACTCATCAGCAGTGCGCATTAGACGTTCTCGCGCAAAACCGATGGTGCTGGGTTCGAATCCCGCGAGTTATGGGAGTCCGTGATGTGCACTGTCACTGATGAGTAGTCTCATACCACCTTAGGCCGTCCAGTGCTCTAACAGTGGTCGATTCATGATTTCTAAAACTTAAAAATTTTCAATTGTGCGCTTCATTTTTTTCCTACCCCAAATATAGCTATGAACAATGCATTACAATATTCAGATACAATTGGAACACGTCCATTAGATATTGACAACTATGGTGTATTTCGTCAAACTAGTCTAATCAATGGTCCTTATATTAATAATAATGAATCAGCTCAACAAGAATGGGATCGTTTGTGTTCAGATTATCAACGTGGAAAAAATGATCCATCTACAATACGTTATACTGGTGCATCATCTCGACAAGCAGGATTTTTTGATATGTCATCATCCAGTTGTGCAATTATGCCTCCTCCCGATACAAATCTTTCATCTCAATGCACTATTCCATCTATGATGCCTACAGGGACAATGATGTTGCCGTCAGGACAAGTAATGATGATGGACCAACAACACCAACAACCATTATCATCAGCTTATTCAACTGGTGGTCCTCCAGTGGTCATGGTTCCACCGAATAATTCCAATCTATGCACAGGCAATTCTGGTTATCCACCGTCTGACTTGATGACATCTTTACCAACTGAATCTTGTCGAACATTGAGTGGTGGTGGTGGTGGTCCAATCGGTCCAATCTGTACGGATTCGATTATGACTTCTAGTGTTGTAACCGGTCCACCAGTTACTGGACAAAAACGATCATATCATTCAGCTACAAATAATGATATTTGGTTATCGCCTAATTCTTCAATTCCTTTATCGATGTCACCTATACAAAATAATGAGAATCCTAGCAGTTTAAGTCATCATATGGTGGAATCAGTTGTGACACCTGTTGTTTGTCGTATTGGTCAAACAATGAATGCAGTGATGCAATCATCCACTGTTGTTGGCTCTATTCCTCCTCCTACATGTATACCACCAGTCAATATTAACAATAATAACATTCCTAACCAATCTGTTGGCGGCGGTATACGTGGTTCCACTAAGCCAGGAACAAAAAAACGTAAAGCTGGTGGTGGTACAGCAGCCTCTGGTGGTGGTGGTAGATCGACAAGTGTTGTTGTTGTCACAAACACAGTCGGTGGTGGTTATGCTCAGACCTTATCCACAACACATCAACAACAGCAACAACAATCAATCCCCAATAATAATAATAGTAATAATATTGTGACCACTCCAAATAAAGCTTTAACTCCATCCTCATATATCGGTGATGAATTGTTACAAATGAATCATTTCTCACGTTCCATGCCGAATCATTCACGTCCAATGCATCAACATCATCATGCCTCCTCTCAACAACAACAACATCCTCATCCTCATCATCACCCTCATCCTCATCAACAGCAACATCCTCATCATCAAGCATCGATGATGATGATGAATGATCGTGCATCGTTTCAACCGACTGATATTAATAATAATTGTTTGATGCAACAGTATTCAGTAAGTTATTCTTTTTTCTATGTTTAAATGTTGTCTCTTTTTTTCTGTTTTATCTAACCATCGACTGCCTTGTCAAGTTATGTTGTATGCTGATGTAGGAATGTTGAATAGGTTGGAAGAAAGTTAAGGGCGGCCAAACCCCCCCCCCCCAACACATGGTACAAATTCATGAAGTTGTTGACAAGTGGACTGAGTCATGTTGGTAGATGTCGACTACTACTACTACTACCTGGTTTGGGTCCGCGAGTCGATAGTAATATCGATGGTTAGAGACCTTGCATGATGACATGGTTCGAAACCGTGCTGCAATGGCGCAGGTGTGTATTTATTCTCTATGTTCTCTCAAATCCTAACCTTCAGAGTTCCTCATCACTTTGTTTTCTTTTTTAAGTTTAGTTCACTAGATTCTACTTCTTGAATAATATCCTCAAATCCTAATCTCTCCGTTTACTGCTAATATTTCTACTATCTCAACTACTATGATATTTGAATTGACTGTTAAATCTGTGTGCTAATGTAGTATAGACAATTTGAGCCGATGTACGTACGTACGAAGTTCTACGTTGCTGTTGGTTGGTCTCTTATCTATCGATTATAATATGTATGAGATATTTCATGAATGTGTGTTGATTTTGATGACTTAATGCTAAGATTGCACCGCCGTATTCACATGGCTTTTAAAACGATGCATCGACCTGGTGACTTCCGACCAAACCTGGTAGCTTTCATCATGAGACGATATACATTATATCATAACTCGTGTTAATGAAGATCTTTCAATTGTACCAGATCAGTAGAGGTTAAATGTTTCTGACGAGTTTTGTTTTCTATGGGATAGTTAGGCTAACACCTCCCCTCCTTATGCCCCAGTGACTGGGGAGGGGGGGGCTCCACTGTGGAGTTACCATCTGTTCACATCATTTATACTTCACTAAAAATCTATTCTTCCACCATAATGATAGAAATATCTATGTAATTATGGTCATATTTATTGTAAAGATTTATATTTTTCTCTCTCTAATATTAAATAAAATTCTATGAATTTTCACCTTGGTAACGTTTGTTTGTCGTCATTCAACTGTAATGTTGTATGGTAGTCCGATGGTGATAGTTGAGAGGTGTATGTGTTTTTTCTCTGAGTAGTTGTAGCAGTAGTAGTAGTAGTGCATAGAAGAGATACATTTCTAATTCCTAGTTAGAGATAGATTATAATTTTTCATATCATAATAGAATTTCTTTTTCTCATGGTTGACAATTTTCTCTTGTAATCTCTCTCACTCTCTCTCGGTCGCTCGTTCGCTAATATTTTTCCCTTTGGGACAGAAAAAAACAAACTTCATCGCATTAGGTAAAACGGTATACATGTGTTCTACCCTCTCTTCCTCTCTGTGTGTGTGTGATGAATGGGTAACTAACTAACTAGCTAACTGATTGACTGACTCTTGAATTATTTCTGCTCAAGGTCACATATTTACACACACTCACACACACACACACTGCATTCCTCGAATTTTGATTTATCTTAGCAGCAAGCAACTTGTATAGATATATATATATATACACGTACATTGTGTTTGTGTGTGTGTGTGTTGGCATGCATCTCGTCCACACATTCGCACACACACACACACTCAGAGCACCGTGTACTAGAGATACTACTGCATGTATCTCTTCTCCTCAACATTTTAAAAGTATCCTATTATACACATAGTTAAGTAAGTAATAATTATTTGTTATTTTTAATAATTAAACCTGTTTTGCTAACGTGTACACACATGTATGTGTACATGCCTCACTGGTATAGATAAACAACTGTACTTAGGTTATCGATGGATATGTGTGTATACCTTCTATCTCTATACACACGGTTGATTGCTTCTCTCTCCTTAGCCCACTCACTACCTGCCGTTGTCGTCGTATTCCTCGTACTCCTTGTCATCTATTAGTCTACAATCCGTTTAAATAATACGTGTAGGTGTGCGTGTGTGTGCATGTGTCTAGCTAACTATTCTATTCTGGGCTTAATTATCATTTTTGTTTGATTAAAATGTCCTCTTATCTAGTAGTGGTAGTAAATAGTAGTATCTCTTCTCTGTTTTCTTCTATTTGGGACAAATCAACCTGTACAACTTTTGTGATTCTAGTGTGTTTTATTTTGTTAATTATAATTTTTTTTCTCCCTCATTGACGACTTTCTAGTCTGATTATTATTATTATTATCGTTATTATGATTGCTATTGTTATTGGTTATCCTTTATCATCACATCGATTTGATAACAGTTTGAATATATAGAGCCTCGCCGGTTACTACCAATACCTTGCTTGTTGAAGTTTCAATTTATTTTATCTACAACATAGTGTAGGCTTCGTCACTTAGTATGCTTGAAGTTATTACGAGTTGTTTACCTTAGTCGATAAACGCGAACGAGACAATAAACCAGCGTTCACGTAGGCTACTTTGAATCCCCGAGGCTGAAGTAAAACAAGGCTTTGTAAGCGTAGAAATTATATTCTACAACAAACACCCAGCAATCACACAATACAATCAAGCATAAAACTCGTTTATTTATAACAACATCAAAGAAACGTCCTGGAGACAGTTAAGTAAATAGAACACTAAAATACACAGCAGCCAATCACAGCCATGGGAAATGAATTCTCAAGGTCAACTGACCAATTTTCTGTGTTTTTTTTATAAGCATTAGTAGTAGCGTGTGTGTGGAATTTCGACATACAACTACGCCTAGAATAGTAATCTGAAACGTCATCATCTGTTAATAACTACCATCCATCTAACCATTGGTGACTTTCGTCTCGCAGACTACCTGGTTGGGTTCCTCGAGATGAAAGTCACCAATGGTTAGTGACCTTGAATGACATGGCTCAGAATCGTTTGCGATGACGCAAGTGCATCCATTCACATTGTGCTCTCTCTGAAATCCTAATCTTATGAATTCGTTAGCACCTTTACCCTTGTCTTTCTAAATTTATCTCACTGAATTATACTTCTTGAATAATATCTTCAAACCCTCTAGTCTTCTTCATTACCATTAATATCTCTACTATCTCTATCTCTATGGGATTTGATTTGACATTTGCGTCTTTGTGCTAATGTGGTGATATGGAAACCTGAACTTATGTAGTACATACGTACGTAGTTCTACGTTGCAACTAACTGACTGACTAACTGACCATCCATCAATACTTGTGACTGAATGAATATTACTTACTTACTTACTTACTCTGGTTGTTACCGCCTCTTCCCCACTAGGCCATCGGCCAGTATTCTTCAACCTACTCTGTTCCCTTGGGCCTTCCCATTCTAGCTCTGTTCAATTGTTGATCATTCTTCTCATTATCTGTCTTCATTTCTCTCGGTATAATATGTTCTTCGGCCTTTCTCTTATCCTTTTGGCCTTTTAAACAGTTGACCTTATACACTAACTAGCCCTTAAAAAACATAGAAAGAACATTATTAGTCTAACCCCCACCATGAATCAAGATCGTTATCCTATACCACATATATAACCACAGATTGTATCAGATAGAAAAAATTTAACAAATGTATGAGTGTATAAGAGACAGTAAACAATTAACTTCCAAACAAATATGTAGGTCAACATAGTATAAACATCGTACGAGTTCATGAAAACACTTATGATAATAGAAGGAAGTAACTTGATAATCTAGTCACTTAATAATCGGAATATGATGGATGGTATTATGGAGATCGTTTTTTTTAACAGATTGGAATCATGTATTGATCAATGGTAGGCCATCATTAGAAATCTGGAAGCACTGAATGGCCGTTTCATCCTAGTATGGGACTCGTCAGTGGTAATTTGCATGCACGACACCTGTTACACGCATATCCGAACCCAGGTTAGGCATCCAACAGTGTTTATGTGTAACTGTCACCAATGCGCAACATCACCCATTGTCTGCAATAGTTATTGCCTACATCCGACAGCGTGTTGAATTACTTTACTCAAAACGTGATGAAACGATCAATGTTAGACTAGTGTTAGTATTAAGAAACCCGGTAGCCCTTTGGATGACCATTTTGTCCTTGTTTATAGAACTCAACAACCACTGACTGCCTTGACGAGCTATGTTTTGTGGTGTAGGAGTAGATTGGAAGAAAGCTAGTGGCGGCCAGACCAAAATATGGCACAAATCCATGAAGTCACTGACAAGTAGACTTAACCATGTCGGTAGTTGTCGACTACCTGGTTGGGGTTCGCGAGATGATAATAATCGATGGTTAGAGACCTTGAACGACATGGTTCAAAATCGTTTGCAATGGCACAAGTGCATCCATTCGTTGAGCTCTGTCAAATCCTAATCTTCTGGATTCGTCAGCACCTCTACCTTTGTCTTTCTAAATTTATCTCACTAAATTATACTTCTTGAATAATATTTTCGAACCCTAGTGTTCTTCATTACCGTTAATACCTCTTCTATCTTTATCAATATGGGATTTGATTTGACATTTGCGTGTCTCTGTGCTAATGTGGTGGTATGGCGCAACCTGATCTTATGTACATATGTACGAAGTTCTACGTTGCAACTGACTAACTGACTGACTTTTCTGCAGAAAAACAAAAAAGATAACTGCACATTTTCACATCAGTTGAAATGTACAATAAGTTAGGTATTCACGCGCACGCACTCACGACCGATGATGCTGAGTTTGAATCCCGTGAAGTGCAGTAATTGTGTGCATTGCTAAAGATGAGTCGCATACTTACTTACCTACTTCTGTTACCTCCGAATGGAGCATAGGCCGGCCACCAGTTTCCTCCAACCAACTCTGTCCTGGGCTTCCCTTTCCAGTTCTGTCCAATGTTTGTTCATTCGCCTCATATCTTTCTCTATTTCTCGGCATAGTGTGTTTTTCTTGGCCTTCCTCTTTTCCTTTTACCTTGAGGGTTCCATGTGAGGGCTTGTCTTGTGACGCGGTTAGGTGCTGTTCGTAGTGTGTGTGTGTCCTATCCACA